TTGGGGCATAGGAAGAGAGAAGTGAATATGATACCATGGTAGAGTGGAAATATCCCAAAGTTCTAAAATTCTGAGTAATTGGTCTCTAAGGGATATAACAGAAAAGTCCCTGTAGCAGATCTTAATCCACTGAACTGTTGGAAGGCTTCACAGTAAAATGCTCCTGAAGTGACTGACATCCTATTCTCTAAGTTTCTAGTTTGAAAACCCAGGAACATCTCTGCATAAATATCCCCAGAGTGCCCCTGGGGGCAGAGTTCAGTGTGTGGACCAAGCTACCAAGAACTTGAAGCTGGTTTGCAGAGTGGCTGTGCTAACCCATTTTGGAATTAGCATTAAAGCATGTAGAGTACCCCACCTGACATAAGTCTAAGCTGACCAAAACCTAAAAATAAGCAGAGCTCAAATAGCCTTTATCCCATAAATACATCATCATCATCATGAAACACATGTCAGCTATGATGTTCAAAGTATTTGTTCTAGGAATTGAAGGTATGGAGAGGTATAAGATGTAGTCTCTGTCTCTAAGGAGTATCTATCTTGGCTGTTTTTAATATAGAAATGTGTTCTTTAAATGATACTAGTGCCCATGATATGGTGGAAAGAGCTCTGGACTAAGACAGCCAATTCTTCCAATAATTTGCTATGTGATCCTGAGCAGTGCTTCCTTCTCTTCTAAGGCTTCGGTTTCCTCATTTGTAAAAATGAAAAAGTCAGACTAAGTAACCTCTTCCAGCTTTAAAATTTTATAATTCTTAGAATTCCCTTTGATCACTGGTGGTGAATACAGTTTTATATTTTTATTATTGCTATTAACTTTGAAAAATGCATTCTATTGAGAGTTCTGTTTTAAATAAATTTAAAAGTTAATAGTAAGAAAAAAAAAACCTAGCAAATACCATAGGAAAATATCACATAAGCCTTATTTAGAGGAGGGCAATGGTGGTGCTAAAGAATAACATTCTTTCTCCCTCTTCTGGACAAATGAAAGTTCCAGGTAAAGCTGGAATTAAAGAAAGAAAAATATAATGATCTGAATCTTCTAATGATCTTCTGTGCTCTCTCGTCTCCTACTCCATTTTTTTTGGAGGTTGTTCCCCTAACCAGAGAACTATCATGAAGTATTGCTATAGTCTGAACTCAGTTTAGTGTAGAAATCCTTCTCTCTGCTGTAATTCATCTTCAAGGTACAAAGGCAGTCTCTGAGAATATAGGAAGACAAAGCCAGTGGTGGAAAGAGCATACTAGACTCAAAGTCAGAAAAACACTTTTTTTCAACTCATACCTCTTACTATCTGTGTAACCATAGACAAATAATTTATGTTGTCCTAGCCTTGTTTTTTTTTTCTCATCTGTAAAATGAGAACGCCTGTTCTACTTACTTCACAAGGAAACTGAAGGACAAATGAAATAACATGTAAAACTCATTGCAGGGAACCAGAACAATTTATATAGTAACCAAGACTGTAAGCAAAGAAATTTGGAAAAACTTTAGAACTCTATTCAGTAGAATGACTAGCTGTGACTTAGAGAAGCAATTACGAAGTTTGCTACCCACCTTCTGATAGAGGGTTGATAGATCCATTATTAGTGATTGGGAACATTTTTTCATGTGGATGTTGATAAGTTTGGATTTCTTCCTTTATAATTTTTGCTGCATTTGGTTTTGTTTTCAGTTTTGTTTTGTTTTAATTTTACGGAACGTGCTTTATTTTGTTAAACTTATGGTCGTACGATTTGGGGTGCTGGACCCTCTATTATGAATTTTCCTTGCAATAGAATTGAACCCAGGAGGTTAGACCTCTACAATACAATCTTCACTATTGGTTTGACTTTCTAATTATTAAGAAGAGAATAAGGTAGAAAGAGTTCAGATTGGTCCTTCTTTCTTAGTTTAATCTTGTGGTGGTTTTGTGTTTTTGTTGGTGGTGGTGGTGCTGGTGGTTGGTTTTTTGGGGGGAGGGGAGGGGAGGGGAAGAGGAGTTTCTGCCCTCTCCGGGGGGCTATTTCAAAGATACTTTCTGGAAAATGTAATGGTTTTCTCCTGAGCTTAACCCTCCTGAGAAATATTTCTGTGGATATGCGATTGACAGATTTGGGACCTCCTAAATTAGTTCTCTAATTTGAGAGATGTGGGGCTTATCTTGGTTTTCCTTTGTATTCAAAAGCTATGAGATACTACTAGACTACCAGATTAAACATTGCAGTTCTTGGATGATGCAGAGTACTATGCTTTGTGCCATAAACAGTAAAAGTATGGGGGGCAGCTAGGTGGCACAGTGGATAGAGCACCAGCCCTGAAGTCAGGTGGACCTGAGTTCAAATCTGCCCTCAGAACAAACACTTGACACTTACTAGCTGTGTGACCCTGGGCAAGTCACTTAACCCCAACTGCCTAAAAAACAAACAAAAAAAAAACCCAGTAGAAGTATGGTTTTATAATACCTTACAACCAGGAATTGGAAAAAATTCTCTCCTGGCTGTGCTATTCACTGGTCTATATATATGATTGCTGAATTTTTTTTTTTATCTGTGAAAAGGAGGTAACTGTAGTCATCAGTGACTGAACATCTTGACCTTGAAATTCTTTGATCCTCTTAGTTCTTCGGACCTTCATCTCTGCACCCACCAATATATCATCACTCACCTTCTAGGATTTAGAGCTAGAAAGGTACCTTGGAAACCAAAATTTCTTAACAAACTACTAAAGTTAGAGTTCTACCTTTCTGCCTAAATCTTTCTTTCCACCTCTACCATTTCCTCATAACCAAATGTGTTCTTTATCTTCATCTAGATTTTAGACCCTAGACCCTTACCCATTGCCCTTACCCTAACAGTCCCCTTCTAGCTTCACTTGTTTACCTATGCAGCCTAGACCCCATAATAAGCCATTTTAATGTTGCCTTCAGTAGCAGAATAGAATTCCCTTACCCCGTTGACATTCCACTATGCTATCCATGACATCTTAACCCTGGTTCATCCCCTCCCCTCATTTGCTTTCTCTTCCTATCCATCTACATTCCCCTACCTAGAATTACTTTAAAAAAAATCAGGAGAAGATGCAAAATTATTTATACAATTGATTCTCAATTAGGACCTCACTGCTGGGGCAGCTAGGTAGCACAGTGGATAGTGCATCAGTCTTGGAGTCAGGAGGACCTGAGTTCAAATTCAGCTTCAGTTACTTACCAACTGTATGACTCTGGCAATCCAAGTTGCATTAAAAAAAAAAAAAAGGACCTCAGTGCTGCTTAGCTAACTTTTTGTAATCCTTAGCAACCTTGGGGGAAAAGTGCTATTATTGTTCCTGTTTTACAGATGAGGAACCTGAGGCAAACAGGTTAAGTAAATTGCGCAGGGTCACATAGCTAGTGAATGTCTGAGGACAGATTTGAACTCAGATCTTATTCGCTCGAGATCCAATACTATCTACTACCACCAAGCTGTCTCTATATGCCTTGGAATACACCCCTTCCTGATTTCTGCGTCATAGAATCCCTTGCTTCCTTTAAGACAACTCAAGCACCACCTTCTATATCAAAGGTTCCCAAACTTATTTGGCCTACTGCCCCCCTTTTTATTTTTTATTTTATTTTATTTTTTAGGCAATTGGGGTTAAGTGACTTGCCCAGGGTCACACAGCTAGTAAGTGTCAAGTGTTTGGTCTGAGGCTGGATTTGAACTCAGGTCCTCCCCTTTTAAAAAAAATTACTAAGCACCCACCTGGAAATCTGCTTTCTTTAACCCTTTAATGTTGTTTTTTTTAATGACAAATCATAAATTTAATCATTTGTTGTAAATTGTTGTAAATTGGGTTTTTTCCTGTACTGAAATATTAATGATGCAATATTGTATCATATAACCATATAGTATATTGTAAACAAGTCATCACACGAAATCCTGCCCATGCATGTTGGACTTCCCAACAATGTGCAACATGTTCGCCTGCCAACACTTGTTTGTTAAGACCTTTCAAGTAGACTTAACCACTGATTGGTTATGACTTGCATTTTGTGTATTTATTTGGAAAATGATATAATCACTACAACTTTAACTGTTACACAATATGTGAAACATATGTGGACAGTTTTTCAAAATGTTCTTCTTTCTTTATGCTTCCACTGCCCCCTTATTTTTATTCATCAACTACCACCCCCAGTTGTACTCAAGGCTACTATTGCCCCCCTGGATCGGGCCAGTGCCCCCCAGAGGATGTTATCACCCACTTTGGGATCCTCTGTAACATGGAGGTACTGCTAATGCCCTCCTTTTCTAACGGTTTTTTTGGGGGGTGAACATATATGCATGCAAATGCTTTCTTTTTATCCCCAGCATCTAGCACAGGGCCCGTCACATAGTAACCTAATAAATACTTGCTGATGGATTGATTATTGATGAATTGATTTATGACATTTATAAAGCATTTTAATCTAAGAAATAATTTGGAAAAGATCAGACTTGCCTAAGTCTGGTCTGTTGATATATTAAGCAGTAAATTTGATTTCCTGAATTTGTTTCTTTATTAATTAAGACCAAGTCAACAGAACTTCACATAGACTACAAAAGGTACCCTTTTAAATTTCCAATAAGCTTAGGATTTTCATAATTTTATGTAACTTGCCAAGCAATTCATAAGATAGAGAGGCATTAAGTACCTACAATGCCAGGCCCTGGGAAGACAGACAAGAAATGGATCCCACACTCAAGGAGGGAGGGAGATATAACATGTAATCAAATAGGCAGTCTTATTTTTTACTATTAAATATAAGGTTCCTGGTCTCCACCCAGTTGAGCAATGTAGCCCCTAATTACTAGGAATATTGGATTGCATGTATTAAGTGTTGACTATGTTCTACTTTTGGGTACAAAGATCATGGGAATCTCTTTTCCCTGAGGTATCTGAGTAAGTACCAAGATAAATGCTTCTTTATGTATTAACCATGACTATAAGTTTATAAATCTTCTCTCTTCTTTCCTTTCTCTCCCCCCCCCCATTATAGGGAATTCTTTTAGTGTATGATATCACAAACCGCTGGTCCTTTGATGGCATAGATCGATGGATAAAGGAAATCGATGAGGTAAGTGTGTGTTTTTTGAATATAGAAATGTATCAGGAAAAACTCAAGACTTTTCCAAAACAGTAAATTTGGAAAAATGCTGCTGCTATCACAGCCACACTTGAGAAGGGCCTCCAGTGACCATAGTCTTAATGAAGCAGAACAGTGATTGGAGTTGTCTGGCTTAGATAGCCTGTTAAGATGTCAATCTATTTTATTCTCTTCTAAGCCCACCTAAACCAGAGAACCAGAGAAAAGAAAAACTTTGTCAATTTCTGTTAGACGTGAAAATGTCAGAAAAATATCCATGCTTTGCAGTAGTAGTAAAGCTGTTCTTAAATCCATCTCCTTCCTTTCCTTAGCCTCCATGCCAAGTCCTTTCTTTGCCTGATGCAGGTCTGAATTCTGTTTTCTTCCTTCAGCACGCTCCTGGCGTTCCCCGAATTCTGGTGGGAAATAGGCTCCACTTGGCCTTCAAGCGGCAGGTGCCAACAGAGCAAGCCCGCTCCTATGCCGAAAAAAACTGCATGACTTTCTTTGAGGTCAGCCCCCTGTGCAACTTCAATGTGATTGAATCCTTCACAGAACTGTCCCGCATTGTTCTCATGCGACATGGCATGGAGAAGATCTGGAGGCCCAACAGAGGTGAGGAAAGCTTCAGGAACTTTGGTTTAACCATACTAAGAAGGGTTGAAAATGGGGGAGTCCTTTCCCCTTAGGAATCAAGAGAAGCCACTTAGCTATAGCAACCTCTGGTTGAGAAGTTGTCACATTCTTTAATATGGGCAATGACCTAGTTTTGTGAAATTGCCTTGCTCTGTTACTTCAGTGCTAATGCCAGTTATACTTCATTTTTCATCCCTTCTCTTCACTCATTCTTGTTCCTTCACAGGGCTTCTCATGTATAGTAGGAATGTATAGAAAGGTCACTTTAGCCAAGTGTTTTTAAAACATTAAATTGTAGCTGTGTGACCCTGGGCAAGTCACTTAACCCCAATTGCCTAAAAAAAAAAAACATTAAATTGAAAAAAGAAGCAGTTCTGAGATTCACAGGCTTATGTGTGGTATCTTCACCTTCCTCAGAGAAAGGAGAATGACTGCCCTTTTACATTGACTCCTCAGGCTGCCTTTTGGTAATTTCTCTCTTCCTCCATTAGCTACATTTGATGATTGGCGGGAAGGAAAGGGGCATTGAAGTGAAGAAAAGAGGCTAAATGAACCTGATTGAAGTGACATGTATCTACAGACAAGGAAAGTTATTAAGAAAAAAAAGAGACATCAACGAAGATATCCCTGCCCTTTTTGAGAGACATAAACCCTGCAGTTCATACCTTATTCCCCACCCTGTGTTAAGGGAGCCCCCTAAAAGTCATTCTAATGTCTAAGAAAGCAGAGTTGAGCGATTGATGTGTATTTATAATGAGTGCGTTCTTTTTAGATCAAATTTTTAATACAGTTGTAGTTTTATATGCAGTGTACATATGTATTGGCACCTTGGGTATAATCAATTTGTACAGTACATTTATGTATTTTATTATCTAAAATTATAAAAGTTTATAATTACACATTTAGCTTTTGTGATATTTTTGAACATCTGAATGGTGTAGTGAAAAGAACATGGAATTTGGAGTCTGAAAGACCTGAGTGGCCTTAGGAAAATCACTTAACCTTTCTGGGCTTCAGAAATAGCTACAAAAATAGATTGTTGAACTAGATAATCTAAGATTTCATCCAGCTTGAAAAACCCTATGACTATTTGATGGCCAAATCTTTGGTCGGGGCATAAGCTCCAAATATAACATTTCTCCTATGGGAAAACTTATCTGTTTTATGTTTGCAATTCTCTTTCTAGGAATGTGTTACTCTAAAAATCAAGGGCTGCCTATAATGAATGGCATATTCAGTCCACTTAAAGGCCGCCTAAATTGTAAGAAGGCTGCAACCTAGAAGTCCTTTTTTGCTTTGCACCAATAGATAGTTCCGTTGTCCTCTGGGTGACAGCACACAGATTTTCTTTTTCCTTTAGGCTAAATAAATTAAACAATATTTGATTAATTTAGAATTGAAGGTTGCTACAAAATCATATCTTATGCAAGAAAAAATACTTGGTTGATTTTTTTCCAGTAAGCAATTACTTCTTCAGGCTAGAAAAGAGATCTTAGAACCTATTGTGACTTGGTGCAAAAAAAAAAACCAAACAAACAAGCAAACAAACAAAAAACCACACTATTGTATATCATCTCTTTGTATAGATTAGTTCCTAAATAGTAAGAGAAGAAGACTGAAAGCTGTTGCTTTAAAGAAAACACTGCAGGTCCAGAAAGAAGCCTTTGTTTCAGCAAAGCAATGTTTCAATGTTGTCCTCAGCTCTTCTCAGAACCAGGAATAATTTTCATTATTCCCTTCTATTGTTGGACAGACCAACAGGAGAGGGGTGCCATCAAGTGGACAATTGAAGCTGTCCTGATGCTTTTCATAAGCACTTTCCTTTTAGTAAGTGGGCTGAAGGGATATTCCATTGGCAGCATGTTGTAGCATAAAGCACACTGGTCTGAGATTCAGAAAATCTTGCTTCAAGTCCTGGCTCCAAAAAAGACAGTGGAATTAAGGAGCTGGATTTAGAGCCAGAGGGCCTGAACCTACCTCCTGGCTTTACCACTTGGTGATATGATCAAAGATTTTAGAACTGGGAAGAATTTAGAAATCCACTTAACTGCCTTGTGAACTTGGGCAAGGTATTTAACCAGTCTTGGGCCCCATTTTCCTCATCTGTAAAAATGGGTTGACTAGTGGAACTCTAAGGCATCTTCTAGCTCCACATCTATGATAGTGTGTTTGTTTATCCATTTCTGTTCTTTCTTTGTTGCTTCCACATTTGCTACTGCTCCTAATTAAACTAGTTAAACTTAAACGGTCTTTTAACTTCATTTTCAGTGTCCAAAAATTATTTTCCTTTGATGAGATAATTCTATCACTTATTTGCTAATTCTGTAGAGGAAACACAGGTCATCTTTGCTACATATCAGAGATGTAACCTTGCGAATGCTAGAAATTTACCTTCTTTTCTGTTTTGGCTTTCCTTCAGTGTTCAGTTTACAGGACCTCTGCTGTCGAGCAATTGTCTCCTGTACCCCAGTCCATCTTATTGACAAGCTTCCACTGCCTGTCACCATCAAAAGTCACCTGAAATCCTTCTCTATGGCCAATGGAATGAATGCGGTGATGATGCATGGACGCTCGTATTCTCTGGCTAGCAGCGGGGGTGGGAGCAGCAGCAAAGGCAATAGCCTGAAGAGGTCTAAATCCATCCGTCCTCCACAGAGCCCCCCACAGAACTGCTCACGAAGCAACTGCAAGATCTCTTAGCAAAATGAAGAACTCAGTGAGCGTAAAGACACCCACACCCACCCACCCATGTACAAATGTTTGCACATTCAACTCTCTTAAAAGAAAAAAGAAAAAAATGGAGCCCACTGTTATTCCTTGGTTACTCTCTTGCCAGGGTATTTCACTTAGGGAATGTTCTTGATGGTGTGCTTGGAGTCTTGGGTTGGCTGGATCCCATGTCATTGGCAGGGAACACTTGGACCCTACACCCTACCCAGAAAACTTTGGGATTTCCTCTTCACTTAGACAAAGAGGGGGTGGGAAAAAAAAATATGATTGCTGGGAGGGAAAACAATTTAGCTAGTCTCGAAAGGAACGGATTAGTGGAGACTAGAGAGGTATAGGGTGTGGTGAGGGGAAGCTGTGCTCCCACATGAACCCATAAACTCATAAATGAATTGCCGGTGCTATAGAGGTCCTTGATTCAAAATATGAAAAACAAGACTGAAAAGGTTTGGGGGATGGCAAATTTGCGGTGGATAGTACTGCTATTGCCAAAAAAAAAAGGCTCTTGGGGAGCTGGCTGTTAAGGATTTTAAAGGAAGCTTTGCCTGCCCTTTTCACTTATTTATATAGAAGTATATATAATATCTCACTTTTTTGGGTAAATTTTTAAAAAAGCAGTCAGGGAAACCTTTATGCAGCCATGTGATAAAAGCATTGCACTCATTAGTAGTGCATCTGCTAAGGGGAAATGAAAACACTTTAAGGAAAGCTATGAACTGATACAGGTGTTTTGCAGTAGCAAGTATTTTTGATGTTTGAGTACTCTTTCCACAAAGATAATAAGGAATTTACTGTTAAAGCTTGAAATGTTCTTTCTTTGAATACACTTCACCCCAATGGGAAAACAGGAAGAATGTTATGGATTAAATGAAGACACCAGTAGGAAGAGGGAGGAATGCTGACCGGGAGTTGGCTTGGCTTTGCACATTCTCTGCCTGCTTTTTGGTAGCTGTGCTGAACACACCTGGACCAACTTGCTCCTGTGGGTCTCCTCACCTCTGTCATACAGTATTGGGTAATGTGGGCATTGCAAGAGAGTAAAAGCACAGTCACTTGAAGCTGGGAGGTGTGCAGTTAGAGAAGCACAGGGCTTGCTTCTGGAGTCAATTTGGATTTCATCTGCTTACAACTTCCCTATTCCATTGGCTCTGCTCTGTCCTCTCAGTTTTCACCTGTCATACATCACTTCCTGCTTCTGAAGGCATGAGAGCTTTAGCAGGCCTCCAAACTGAAAGGTTTCACAGTGAGAAAAAATCTGGAGGTTATTCCAGTGTATTATTATTTTAACACTTTCTTCATATACTCCCATGACCCAGTATGTTCTTTAGCTAGGGAAAATGTGCTGCTCCAAACTGGCCGTGGAAATCATTCTCTCTTTAAATGCAATGCTGTCCTCACATTTGTTGCTTAATAGATGAAATTTGTGCCAGCATTTACCAGAACGAAAAGACCCTAAAGCTATTCACAAATTGTTAAATACTTGATTAAGGGAAACCCAAGAGTAGTAGAGCTACTTTTATCCTTGGTCTTTTGCAGAGATAGCGAATCCATGATTCTGGACTCTTGGACTCCATCTGACATAGAGAAGTAGACACTGTCCATCTTCATGACTGTAAATGTGCTTGCCACACATTCTTCTTTGTAAATTATGCATAAGATTGACTTGACTTTCCCAACAGCCTCAGCATACTAACCTAATATTTTTATCACTCCTTTTCCTTAAAAAACATGCTTTTCTTTGCTGCCAGTCAGAAAATAGAATAAGCATAACAGCCCTCTGAAACTGTCCTAAGTCAGTGAGAGTGTAGTAGTATTGAAGTCTACACAAAGCCCTGGATGCTGGTTTACAGACACTGTGAACCATGAGCACCCATTTTCAACACTTAATAGATTTGTCATCAACTCATTAGATTCTGTGAGGTGAATTTGGGAGATAAATATTATCTTTTAACATCCCCAAAGTAGTTTCTTTTGTTTGGTCCATGAGGACCACTGAAGATGCTTTCTAAGAGCTAAACGTGTGTCTCAGTCACCAAAAGACTGGTGATAAAAATCCCATGCTATTGTATTTTGACACTCGCTGCCCTCAGCTTGTGATTGATTCTTGTACTCCTCCCACTGCTCAAGCCTTTCCCACTGAGTTCTGTCTCACCCACATCTGTGCCTGGGAGGTGTGTTGGGCGTGAGTCACATCGGTGCTGTATTCTACCTCTTCCCAACTCGGTGTTGGTGTGGCCACAAATAGCAGCTGCTCCTACCTTTCCAAGAGCGGAGACTGCCCTCAGCAACCATGGACAGCCGGTGGTAGCTGGCCAGGAACATCCTTCAGTGTATTTAGTTGCATCTTCATCTCTCCCTTTCTCCAAAGACTTCATAACAAATCCCAAACAGGAATTTCCCAAATCAAGTCCCACTGCTTTTTAGAAACCCATGCAATTCACGAGCAGAGTAAAATATGCTTAGCATTTATGGGCAAATGGTCTCTTACTGGGCCTTCCCAGGAGATGAAGGCTGCCAGTATTTAAGACACCCACAGCCACCAACTCATCAAATCCAGTGGAGCAGAAGACAATCATCATCTTCAAAACTGAATGTTGAGGGGAAACACGGGCTAATGAATGAATTGGAATAGCCATGGGAGTTATTGTTTTTGGACTTGGGGAGACTTTTCTGGAACAGATTCTCTCACTGCCTCTTGGGGAATTCTGAGTCATTGTCATCCTATGATTTTGGGGAACACCCATCCACTAACTGATTTGCAGTTTGATATGTGGGGATAGGGATTGGGTTTCTTGCCTTTATAGCAGCAGAGGGAAATGAGATGGTAGTTTAGGCTCATTATAACCTCTTTCTCCCATTTCTGACCTCCCTAGCTTTTCTATGCTAAAAGTCAAACCTGGAAGATCCTACAGACACCTAGCCAAAATGGGATCTATTTTCTTTGGAAGTTTCAGACAAAACAATTGACTTGGGGATTGGGAGTGGGGTTGGCATGGGGAGGAAGGGGTTGAAGAATTGAATGATTTTGGCATTTATGATATCAACACTATTCTTAGCTGCTGTTTTGACACTTGTACCATTCCTGTGTTCTATTTGACTTTTTATTTCTTTGTACAGTAAATGTAATTCAGCTGTGATATACATGTTTTGTTTTATATAAATTAAAGTCTCCTTGTTTTTAAACAACCAAACAGCTTGCAGAAATTATTTTGAATTGATGTGATTCTTTTTCTCTAGGTAGCTCTGAAGTCTTTTGACTCCATGTTGAAGACAGTGGGAGTGAAAATCCTTGGATTTCCCAGTGAGTGCCAGTTGTAGGGCCCCCCATCTCTGATTCTCCCTGGGTGGTCGTCTGAGTCTCACCATCAGAGCTACAGAATTAGAGCTAGTTTGTGGCCACTTAATTGACCTCAAGGGCTTTGTTGACAGATGCAGACTCTACCACCCTGGCCTCTTTTAGGTCCCGTATCACTGAATGTGCCATTCTGGCAGTGTCCTGACCTCTACTTACCCTGCAGCATTCAAACTCACATTTATTTTCCTCCAGTCCTCTTGTGGCTTATGGGGCCCTGAAGCTTTCCCGGGTCCGAAGTTAGCGCTTGGGCTTCAGCTGGGAGGTCCTCGGGGTAGGTTCTGATCCTGCCACAAGCACTCTAGCCAGTTTTGTTTGTGTGACTCACTGTGCTTTCAGCTGAAGAAATAATGCAAACACTTGTTTCAGGGGAAGATATTAAATGGGGAAGTAGAGGACAGGTTACTCTAGCTAGAACCCATTGTTTGGTGTGGCCCGGACAGGAGTTGAGTGGATTTTTCGATCTACCAGCCTGTCTAGTCTAAGGCCAACATTTCTCTTCCTCTAGGTTAGTAAGCCCTTTTCTAATTATTCTTTTCTTCCCATACCCTCCTGCGTGGGGGGAAAACACTGATGTATGTGTGTGCCAGAAATCCGATAGCAGCTGCAGAGTGGGAAGATAAAAAGGGTAGAAATTTGATCAAGAAAGAGTAAATAAACATTCTTCTAGGACAGAGTGGCTGATGCCTGGGGTAGTTTTGAAAATGCCCTGTGATCTCTGATCACTGTGAGCCATCCAAACAAAGGCTGGTGTGAATGCAGGTGCTCATCGAGCAGCAGGAAGAGAGATCCTGTTTTCCTGCCCTGTCGATGGTAACAGAGAACAAGTAGGGGTTAGCAGGGAGGGCAGGGGGTGAAGTACAGAAACGGGCTAACTGAAGCAGATGAGTTTGGGAGCGAAATGTTTTCCATGACTCATGTGCAGCTGTAAAATGCTGGAGTGCAAGCTACATCACAAGATTATCATAGTTTCCCCTGTTTACCAGGTTGCCAGAGCTAACCAGGATGGTCTGCTTTTTGAGAGCAATGGTCCTGGGGGGTCAAGATCCCTCATTTGTGTTGTTGGCTGTCCTGCTGACATCATGTGAGACCTTGGATGAATCACATGCCTGGATTTTTTTTTTATCTCCAGGCATTTGGTGAGATGTAATGCACTTGAGATCAGAGTAAGTTTCAGCCAAGAGCCTGGGGTCAGTAGGAATTGTATCCCTCCCAAAGAAAAGAAAAACTACCCAGTCCCAGGATTATTGCTTATACCAGCACAAATACAGAGGAGAATCCAAACCTTGAGACTGAGGTTTTCATGAGTAAGTGAGATACAAGTCTTTGGTCCTTTTATATACACATTGCTAACGCTCTTCTTGAGACTAGGGATTTCCCATGTCTGCTTGGAAAGCTGCCTGAATTGTGGGGACCTTAACTTCACCTTTCTTCCCTCTTATGTATATCCCATATCAAACCTTCAGAATGCACAGCCTGCTAAATTGATATGACGTGGTTGAAATAACGCTGGATTGGAAGTCAGGTTCTAGGTTCTGGTCCTGGATTTAGGACTTACTAGCTTGTGACCGCAAATCTCTCTGAGCGTCGTTTTCCTTTTCTGTAAAATGAGAGTTAGACTTATGAGGTGATCCATGAGTTCCCTTCTGTGACTGTCCTGGACTGCTGAGTAGCTACTGAGAAATAAAGGGGAAAGCCTCCTACTTTTAGATACCACATAGTAACACCCTCCTTCAAATGCCTTTCCAGGCCGTGCATGGAAAAGGAGGCAGGCCATAAATGAGGTGCCCTTACAGAGTGCCTGCAAGGGAGAACTCTTCCAATACTTTCAGACATTTTCTCAAGCTGGGCAGAAGGAAGGGGAGTGGGGTAGAGCAGTGGATACAGAAATCAGAAGTCGAATTAGTCCCTGAACTTTCTGCCTGAGAGAGTTGTCTGACCTGCTTTTCTAGAACTGGTTAAGAGATGGGAAGGAAACTTCAGCAACTCCTTAAACTCTTCTCAGCTCAGCCCTAGAGGGAATACAGCTTCCCATCTCATCTCCCAGCTACTGACACTGTTTACTGCCCACTTGACAGGGTCCTCTCAGGCCAGCACAGCTGGGACAGTGCCTGGGCTGCCCAGGTGAAGAACTGGCCGAGGAGCCTGTCTGGGCTAGCTGAGATCCCAGGGCCAGAGCCAGACTTCCTTTTCTCATTAAGAGAAGGAGGCAGCAAGCACTGGGATGACTCCTTCGATTCCCTGGCCACTGACATTTTTCCCCTGTTTCTTGTTCTGAGCAGGCCAAGCACTTCTGATCTGCCTCTTGGGTCAAAAGGTCAGGCTCCAGGGTCACTGAGACTTTTTTTTTTTACTCTAAATGTCAGAGGAAATCACTCCCTGGAGTCCCCAGACCTCTGAGGACGCTGCTGAGGGATTGAAAAGGGCAGATTCTTGGCGGGCCCTTTGTCCTGCTACCCCACTTTTGATCTTTGTAGTGGGAGGGCCCAGGGCTTTGCCTACCCTCCCTTCTACTTCCAGGCCTGCTAAAGGGGCCCTGGCCCTCACTGGCTGGAGTCAGCGTCTTGGAAGAGCAATACCTCCAGCAGAAATTCATGTTGCAATTCAAATCCTCTTCCTACTCTACTAGCCTTAGAGAAACAGATTTGTCCAGGATCTTTGTCTTTTTTGAGGTTGGGGAGAGAAGAAGGCAACAGAGAAGAGAAGGGTACTAAGTCATTTTAAATTGAAGATTTAAATATACTAAATCAGTCATAAAACAGTCTGCTATACTCCTGGAAGGGGTTGAGATGCTATCTTTGTATATACTGATATTGTGACCTTAGTATAGAAACATTTGAAAGATGGACTCCTGAATATTAACCACTATAGAAAGCCCATAGATTGCAGGAGGAAGAGGTGCTCGGCTGCAAGTGGAAGAGCAAGATTACAGTCTCTGCTCCGCTACCAACTCACTGTGTGTCGTTGGGCCAGTTACTTCTCGTCTCTGGGCCTCAATTTCCTCATCTCTAAAATGGAGAGGATTATACCAAGATGGCCTTGGCAGCCCTTCTCCTGCTAATGTTGTTGAGTCCTAGGACTCTGTTCTTTCTTTGACAGTTTCCCCTACCCGAAAGTATAGCTGGGAGGTCATCAAAAATTGGAGGAGTCCAGAATGGGGATAGGGGGTTTGGTTCTTTCTGGAAACAAGAAATAGTTTGTTCTTTTCTTACAGCTAGTGTTGAATTTACCTGTTTTGCCTGGATAGTAACCAGAGGTAGGAACAAGTTTTCCTTGGGTTTCTGTCTCTTTTTTTCTTCCCCCCACTAGGAAGTGTTCTGGGTCTGCAGTCAAAAGGGCCTGCGCTTGTATGATCTTGAACAAGTCCCTTTCCCGGAGCTCCAGTTTCCTCAGACCCCTCTCTAAATGTGTCCTGTGCACACTATTACATTTTTGAGCCCCCTGCTATTTAACTATTTATTAGGTGCTGAGAGTTTAGGTTTGGCTCCCCAGACTCTCATCAAGGAGATAAGGCATCTGGCAGAGCAAACAATGCCATGCTATGGATGATAAGAACCGGAATGATAAGTACAGACAAATGTTGTAAAAGTTTGAAAGATAAGAGATCCCTGGCTTGAGATGGGTTAGGAAAGGCTTTGCAGGCCCTTGCAAGATAGTTGGAATTCTGGGTAAATGATAAGTAAAATCAAGAACCACCAAAATCTGGTCACTGGACACATTCACAATATTCTGGTGAAACTATACAGATATCCCGTGTATCTGGTAGCAAAATCGGGCTTTAAAATTTGACTTGGTGTGAGGAAACCTGGATTTTCGTTCCAGCCCTGGAATTACTGATATGTGACCTGGGTGGAGACACAGAACATGGGAAATTATGAAGTAGTAAATAGAGCATTAGACCTAGGTTCTAGTCTTGGTTCTATTATTAAGTGTGTGACCTTGGCTTGGTCTCCTGACCTTTCCTGGGCCTGTTTCCCCACTTGTAAAACATGAGCATTGGACTAGTCTGATTTCCTTTTCCCTACCCTCCCTGTCAAGCTCTAAGAGTATATTGTGATCTTCGTGCCTTATTTTCCGTCTGTAAAATGATGCTTGCCAAGATTGACACCTTGACCTATCAACAAAGGTAAAACATGGATTTGGGGGCTTTCTAGGCAGGGTGGGGAGGAAATGAAACTAACCCAAATAGACCTTGGAAGATCAGGTGGGACAGAGTTGGTCTGTGAAGCTTCTTGAGTCCTGAGCCGATGAACTTCCTGAATCCTAGAGCCTCACACCTTGATCCAGCCCCAGTGCCCTCTCATCTCAAGGCAGTGCTGTACAGATGGGACTAGAGTATGAGCTTACAGCCCAGTGCTTTTCACTGTCCCACACAAACTTGTGTGTGTTTTTCTGCATGGTGGGGGTAGATAACACATGGGAGTAGGCACTGACCAATGAACTATACGCCTTCCTTGAAAAGAGAAATTCCCTTTCTCCTGGCTCCCATCCTTATCCCCTGGTAGGAGCCTTGATTTCCTAATTGATCTGCCAAGACAGAGTTAGTCTGAGGTTAGTGGTGCTTCCATTCCCAAAGCCCAGACTCAGATTACAACTGCCCCTTCCCACCTCCTTCCTCTCTCTCTCTCTCTCTCTCTCTCTCTCTCTCTCTCTCTCTCTCTCTCTCTCTCTCTCTCTCTCTCTCTCTCTCTCTCTCTCTCTCTCTTTCTCTCTCTCTGTGTCTTCAGGCCGGTGTGGGCCTCTTCCCTTCCCCCTAGGACTCCTCTCCTAACCACACTTGTCTCCCCCTCTCCCAGTCAGTCTGCTCAACAGTTCCCCAGATGGTGGCTGCACCTCCCTCTCCCCGCCCCACCCCCATTCTCCTTTCACTGCCCTGGCCAGCCCCTGGGAGCCACTGAGGGCTGTTTGGGAACAAGCCTGAGGAGGCTGGGGAGGGGCCGGGAACCACATGTATGACTGATTCATTCAGAAGCAGGAGATGCCCTGGGTTCTGTCCTGCCTTCTTAGCCCTGTCTCAAGAACACTGGCTCACAGCCTCTCCCCAATGGATCTTAACGCGCTAAAACATTCCACCCCGGGAAGACCCAGCATCTAATGCGGTCACTGGCGTCAGGTAGATCCAGGGAACAGGGAGGAGATTGTGAGGCCGGTGAATTTAGGCAAAGATAAGTCCAGTTACTAGAGGAGAGGTATAAACAGCCACTGGGAAAAGACTGTCTGGAGCACAGGGAAAGAGAGAAACCACAGGAAGAGCGAGCTATTCAGGACAAGGAAGCAAGCCAAGGGCCCCCAGAGTGTGGATGCCTGCAGGGAGAGTGGAACCAAGGTGCTGGGGTCTGGTGCTGAGGGAAGGCCCAGGCTACGATCCTCATGCCGGCCCTGCTGCTCATCCTGACCCTGTTTTCAGGGCTAGCTAATGGAGCCAGCCTCCAGCCTGAACCAATGAGCCACCTAGGTGTGTGCCCCAACCAGCTCAACCCCAACCTCTGGGTGGATGCCCAGAGCACCTGTGAGAGGGAATGCCATGTGGATCAGGTGAGAACTGGGGGGCTGAGGTGGGGGAGATTATTTTAAGAGCATTTGGGGTCCTTCCCACACTACTTGGCATATGCTTTAAACAAGAGTTTCTCCTAAGGTTGGTGTTCTTAAATTGCTAAAGAGGAGTCACTTTCTTCTTTCTTGCCCCAGTTTACCTGTCTCTACAACGGACAGCATAGTCCATCCAGATCAATGCCAAATAATTATAGCACTTTCTAGCCAGAACCCTAAGCAATGATCTTTATTCAAGATTCCACATCCATCTGTCCCAAACAGTCCCCTACCACCCAAGAAAAAGGCCATCCAAAGGTAATTTAAAAAAACCCAACAACTCCAAAGTCTTTGAACATTCCAGAATCAAGGAACCAGGGAAGTACAGAGCAGATTATTTTTTTGAAGATGTCACTTACAATCTTTTCTTCCCATTGCATCCCTAGATAGATTTTTGTATGGCATCTGTCTCTGACTAGGGTTCTAACCTGGCACCCATGAAATTGTTTAGTTGATTGTTTGATAACTTTTTCAATATACTTGGTTCCCTTTGTAATCCTATGTATCTTATTTTATGCATTCCAAGAAGGGGTCCATTGGCTTCATCGGACTGCCGAAGTCCCAGACTCAAAAAAGATTAAGAACCCCCTGGTCTAGTCCATTCGGCAGCAGTGCCAAATAAATAAAGGATGTTCTTCTACTTTCCCAGGAGGAGACCCTTCTGCCCCACCTTCAGTCCTCCTTTAGTATGGTGTCTTTGTATTTCCCAACCCTGAAAAGTTTGGAAGTTCTTCCCAGTGTCTGACTCGACTCTTTCCTGCTGCTGTTTCAGCCATTCCCTTTTGTCACAGACCCAGAGTGTACAGGGGCAGATTCCTTTCTGCTATCTTTACACTATTCCTTCTTCATCTGCTGGAGCATTGTAGTTGTGTCCCTACTGCATCTCAGCCTTCTCTAAGCTAAAGCAACTCAGCTTCTAGAGCCACGAGTCATATTCCCCACCCCTTCTGATGGGGGGGGGATCTGGACCCCTAAAAGGAAAGCCCTTGAACTTTCCCACAAATTTTGGGAGGGAGGGTCCCAAGATTTGTGGGAAAGTTCAAGGGCCTTTCCTTTTAGGGGTCCAAATCCCCCCCCATCACTTCCACCATTAGCCTCTGTGAGCAGTATACCAAACTGGACACAGATCCCTGTGATAAGGGCCTTTTACCAACCCCGAAGCCAGGACAGCCTTAATTGCCTTGTGGTCCCGTGTCCTAGATCCTAATTTATACACCATGCCAGAACTAAGGGAGAGCAAAGTTCACCCAAAAACATAGAACATAACATGGGGAGGAGGAGTAGTGGAAGGCAATGAGAGGTTTAAAAATATATATATATGACTTTTATAAATACACATTTTTAATGCCAAAAAAATTCTGCTCTGTATGCCACATAGTGATTTATTTTGTGGTGAGTCAAGTTGGCTGTGTTAAAAATGAAGGCTCAAAGATGGAGGTGGAGAAAAGACGAAGAAGTGGGGATAGGCCTACAGTGATCAAACCTTGCCTAGGGTTTCTCAAGTGGCCATGTGGCCAGGAAAGGGGGAGGGGTTGTATTACTTATGTACTTTGTCTTAAAGGTCATGCTAAGCCACAGACCATTTTCCTAAAGCCACAATTTACGGCTATACAGTCTTGTCTTTCCTTATTCTCTTCAAATTTGCCCAGGCTTCCTAATTTTCCTAATAACATTTTTATCCTACTTTCTAAGTCACAAGACATCACTCCATTAACTTGGTATTACTAACTAACAAACTTCCTGTGTTCAAGTCCTTTTGGAAAACAGCAACCAGCTCCCAGCCTAGGGGCATGTAGTCTGTGGACCCAGTAGGTAATATTACCACCTTACATTAGCAAACTTTCACATTCAAAGTGCTTTCCCATCTCATTGCTCCTCCAGCTATCCCATGAGGTGGGTACAGTTGGGATTATTATACTTCTTTTTACAGAAAAGGAAACTGAGGCTGAAGAGGAATGAAGTGATTTTTCCATAGTTCTATAGCTAATTAGTGGTGGAGCCAAGGTTTAAAATTGAAATAGTTTGCACTGAATGAGCCCCAAATTAGTCCCAGCAGGAGTCAAGCACTATTCACTGAACTTGGCTAAACTACTTCCTCTCTCCCGGTCTCAATTTCCTCTTCTATAAGATGAGGAGGCGGGGCTACGTGGTCTGTAGGATCACTCTTGCTCTGATGTTCTATGATTCTGTCCCCAACAACCCAACAAGGAAACAGACACAGGGAAAGACAGTAATTCTCCCAAGAGCACAGCACACTTCCACAAAAGACCACAATATCTTCTGCAGACATATAGGGCATGTTTACTGAGGGTGCCAAAGAGAAAAGGGATGTCTAGGGCACTTCTCCTACAATAGATTGGGCCAGAATTGGGCCTGGGTTTTTGAATCACAAGACACAGAGCAAAGGGGTGGTAGAGGGGAAGTGGGAGGGTGAGGAAAGGAGGCCTGAGGCTTTCACCTGGCGCTAACCCTGTCCTCTCCCCTCCTTCCCAGGACTGTAATGGTTTTGAAAAGTGCTGCACCAATGTGTGTGGGCTACAGAGCTGTGTGGCAGCTCGCTTTGCCGACGGTAGCTCGGCAGCTCCAGCACGAGCTGCCTCCTGCGAAAGCTTTGTCTGCCCCCAGCAGGGCTCTGACTGTGATATCTGGGATGGCCAGCCCGTGTGCAAGTGCCGGGACCGCTGTGAGAAGGAGCCCAATTTCACCTGTGCGTCAGATGGCCTCACTTACTACAATCGCTGCTACATGGATGCTGAGGCTTGCCTTCGGGGCCTCCGTCTCAGTGTGGTCCCCTGCAAGTATGTCTTCAGCTGGCCCCACACCAGCCCTGGGCCTCCTGAGACCACCGCACCCCCCACGCCCGGGGCAGCCCCTGACATGCCCATCCCGCCAGCCCTCTACAGTAACCCCTTCCACCAGTCAGTCTATGCCGGGGGCACAGCCAGCTTCCACTGTGATGTTAGTGGCCGCCCATCACCTGACATCACCTGGGAGAAGCAGAGCGATCAGCGGGAGAACTTCATCATGAGGCCTGACCAGATGTATGGCAACGTGGTGGTCACCAACATTGGCCAGCTGGTGGTCTATAACGCACGGCCTGAGGATGCTGGGCTCTATACCTGCACTGCCCGCAATGCAGCTGGCCTCCTCCGAGCCGACTTCCCTCTTTCTGTCATCCAGCGGGAGCCCCCGGGAGGGGAGCTGCCCGTCCCCAGTCCACCACCCCCTGCTCCAATGGAGTGTCTGAAGGAACCGGACCGTCAAGCCTGCCAGGGCACTGGCAGCCAAGTACGATGGCACTTTGACGCCAAAAAGGGTGGGTGTACCACCTTCCAAGACAATGGCTGTGATGTGGGCAATGGCAACCGATTTGAGACCTATGAGGCGTGCCAACAGGCCTGTGCTCGGGGCCCTGGCGATGCCTGTGTCCTGCCTGCTGTGCAAGGCCCTTGCCGAAGCTGGGAGGCTCGCTGGGCCTATAGCCCACTACTTAAACAGTGCCATTCATTTGTGTATGGGGGCTGTGACGGCAATGCCAACAACTTTGAAAGCCGGGAGAGCTGCGAGGATGCGTGCCCTTTCCCCCGGACACTGCCCTGCAAGGCCTGCAGGCTCAAAAGCAAGATGGCCCTGAGTCTGTGCCGCAGTGACTTTGCCATCGTGGGGCGACTGACAGAGGTGATTGAGGAGCCCGATGCTGGCATTGCCCGATTTGCCCTGGAGGGCGTGCTCAAGGATGATAAGATGGGCCTCAAGTTCTTTGACACGAAGTATCTGGAGGTGACGCTGACTGGCATAGACTGGGATTGCCCCTGTCCCAACATGACGGCTGGAGATGGGCCGCTGGTCATCATGGGGGAGGTGCACGACGGAGTGGCCGTGCTCCACCCCAGCAGCTACGTCAGGGCTGCCAGTGATAAGCGGGTAAAGAAAATCTTAGAGTTGATTGAGAAGAAGGCCTGTGAGCTGCTCAACCGTTTTCAGGACTGAACCTGGGTGTACATGTGGGCACAGGCGGGATACATCTCTGAAGGGGTGAGTTCTGCCAGTCCCTAGACCCTCCTAGAGCCCCACTCAGCCTGTGCTCTCCAGAGTAGGTGAATAAAAGGTGTTTCTCCTTCAAGTCTTTGTTACCTGTCTGCCCTTTCCTGAGGACAGGGACCCAAAATGGATCAAGGTCCCAGACACTCTGCTCAGTGGCCCTGCCTGACCCTCCATTGCTTCCCTTAGCTGCTGTCTTGTGTACCACCCTTCTTCCCACAGCTGTATAAACACTGCCTCCTCTCCCAAACATCACTAATTCCCAGACTCAGATTCTCAGTTATTTGGGGCTTTGCCCTTCTTGGTCAATCCAACAGCCACGTTGTCCCCTAGGTTGCTCAGTGGGGGGAAGAAGCCACAGCAGGCCAGAGAGATAGCCACAGCCCTCTCCCATCACATGCACATCAGGAAGCTGGTCCTTCCAATCCCCCAGCCAGCTCTGAGGTTCACCTATGGTCATAGCCCATGCAGCCCTGGTCTGAGCTATCATTGGAGCTGTGGTCAGAGTTCACCAGGGCCAGATGGGAACGGAAAGTGTCAGAGCTTGCTAGAAAGGAAACCTCTCTAGTCCGTGGTCTGACACAGCAGAACCTTCATCTGGGCAACCCCAGGCCCGACCTCTCACTGGGGAAAGGCCAATGTCTACTCCTGGCAGTCAGCCAGGGGCATGTTCTTCTCCCCCTCATTGGGGCTCAAAGGTTAAGGAAGGGAAACCATTCCATCAGCTGTGGTTGCTGAGAGACAAGGCAAACAGGGCCCCTACAGAGGCCTCTTTGCCTGGGGTACTGGCCAGAAAGATGGGAGGGGTTTGAACTGGGGGCCCAGAGGTAGCTGTTGCTTCAGAGAGAGCAGGGATAGGGAAGGAAAGTCAGAGGGACAGAGCCCTTCCTGCAGACTCTAGAGAGCTCCGGGCCTCTGAGAGGAAAAGTTTGCAGGGAAGGAGGGGAAGCAGACCTCATTCACTACCTCCATACATCTGAGGGAAGGGCAGCCCTATTCCCCCTAAGGAGTCCAATGCCTTCCCTCAACTAGGTTATATGGGGGCGACCTGACCTTTCTGCAGCAGCAGCTAATTCACCCATCACTAGTGATGGGAACCCAGGTTCTAAGCTCCACCTTTCCTGGCCTCTAGAGCTTTGGGAGGTGGGCCCCTTTTATTCATCAGCTTCCTTTTCCCTGATCCCAAGTCCAGCAAGACACAAGCAGCCACTTCTCACCATGGCCACCAGGGGGGAGCTAAGACTCCACAGAGGGCGCACCGCTGAGTCTTAGGTCCCTTGGTCCTCATTCTCTGGAACAAGGGCACCATGTCCTCCCACCCAAGAAGAAGGATGTGACCAGCCCAAATCACAGAATCATAGAATGTTGGAGCTGAGATCCTTTATTCCAACCCACTCAAGTTATGAACAGAAAAACTGAGGCCCACAAAATGTCACGAGGTAGGTCAATGACAGAGACAGAACCCACCAAAAAAATGTAGATTTCATTCAAGGTGGCAAGGAGATACAATGAACAGCCTTGCCCCCCCCCAGGCTCAAACTCATGCCTTTCTCCACTGGTGGAGGAAGACGAGAATGTCTTAGAAAGCATGCAGGGGGGTGAGGGAGAAGAAGGCTTTAGGCATGAGAATGATGCCAGCCAAGAGCCAGTTGACACCAGGAGCTGGGTGCAAGCTGCCAATGCTTGACATTCAGCCCCAGTTTTGCTCCTGCATGGCAGGACCCTGGAGAATCATCCCTAAACATGCCACACCTCTGAAAAGCTAGGACGTGCTCAGAAACGCTCCCCCATTGGCAGGGGAAAAGCCTATTAACTAGTTAAGCATCAGTCTCAGCCCAGGTATAAACATGAATTTTGCAGCTGCCAGGAGTGACCTGACACCTGGTCTTTCTGAAGCCCTGGAACTGTGTGGCAGGCACAGTGGTAAAAGCCGGAATCCTCCCAAATCTTGTGAGGGGTGATAGCTGGCAGTCAGCAAGTCACTGTTTTCGGAAAATCAGGCATTTGTTGTTGGCTGGCATGTCAATCTGGAAAGAGAAGGATGGGTAATAAAGAGAATGGGGATTCCCCTGGCCAGCTCACTACCTGCCCATCCTGTCCCATGATGACCCTGGCAGGTGACATGTAGCTGCTGTTACCTCTAGGCAATGTAAACTCAGATGCATCTGTTGCTGGTTTCCAGGGAAACCCACACCAGAAGGGGAAGTGGGGAAACAGAAGGCGCAGTTCTACGCATCACCAGCCCTGGTCAGTGCCCACTGACTCCACAGCCCAAATTGGTACTCATGCTAGGTCCTACCATTTTCTCCAGGTACAGGCCACTGGCTTGAGCAAGCTGCTGCAAAAGGGATACGTCCCGGAGCCCCCAGGCTGGGTTCCTGCAAACCATCGTACAGAGGAAGGGAGTTTCTCTTGCAAGTGAGCCTCCAACCCAACCCAGGAAGCAAAGACCTTGGTGGTCCACCCACCACCACAGCACCCACAGGGGTCCCCAGTACCTGCGTCTGAGGCTGATGTCAAAGTCCACATTGCTCTGTGGGGTGATCGTCCCATTGATGGCATAAGCCTGTCAAGGACATTGAGACCCCCCCCCCACGACCCCATGGGTAACAGTCAGTAGAATCCTGTCATCCTTCGGTAGGATCAGGCAATGGGAAGTTGAGGAAGAGCTCTAGATCCCCTCTTTCCCCAAAGTAATCGGAACCTTCACAAAATCTGAGTCATGAGACCTCAAAGCCCATCTAGTCCAGCCCACACCTGGAAAAAATTCCCTTTGCAACACCCCCAACAAGTCATCCAGCTTCTGCATGAAGGCCTCCCAATGTAGGTAGCTTCCAACATTTCCAGGTAGCTCTAGCTGCTTTCTGTTCTTCAAGCGTGTCCAACTCTTTGTGACTCCATTTGGGGTTTTCTTAGCAAAGATACTGGAGTGGTTTGCCGTTTCCTTCTCTAGCTCATTTTACAGATGAGGAAATTGAGGCAAACTTGCCCAGGATCACATAGCTAGTAAATGTCTGAGGCCAGATTTGAACTCAAGAAAATTCATTTTTCTGACTCCAGGCCCAGCACTCCATCCACTGCACCACCTAGCCACCCTCAGATGGTTTTTTTTCCCCCCCTTTCTCTAAGCCTAAATAAGTTTCTCTGCAACCTATGATTCCTTATTCTGCCATCCAGGGCTAAGCAAAAAAGTCCAATCTTTCATCCATGGAAAAGCCCTTTAAATACTTGAAAATGGTTATCACTTCTTCTCCTTCCCCAAAAGTACCTTCTTCTCCAGGCTAAACATCCCCTAGTTCCTTCAACTAATCTTCATATGGCATGTGATATCCAGTCCTTTCATCACCCTGGTAGGCTCCACTTTCCACCCCCCAGATTTTACTTATACTTCATTGGTCCATAAGGAATACCCCATGAGGGAACTCCTACCAGTGCAGGTTGGCACTTGATCTGCAACTTTCAGTCTCAAAGAGTTGTCCCTGGCACTGAGAGATTGTGACCCAAACAGGATCACTCTGGCAGTATGGCAGAGGCAGGATTTGAGGCCTCGTCTCTACCTACGACACCACACTGCCTCTCTCTTTAGATATATGTCCATATTCTCCTTAAAATGTGATCCCAGAACTGAACATAGTTTTCCAGATGTGTTCTGACCAGCACTGAGTAATGCAAAACCATTGCCATCTTTCTGAACATTCTACCTTTCAATGTAGCCTAGGAGAATGATTCTTGTGGCTACTAAGTTGTGAGGACAATTCAAACCAAACCTGTAGTCTACAACATATACCTGATCCGTTGTGCCTCCCTACCCTCTATGTCTAAAATTGATCTTTTGACTTGTGTAGGACTTTACATTTATTCCTTTTATTAAGCTTCAACTTACTCAGTTCAGAGCATCATTCTCACTTGTTGAAATTTTTTTTTTACCAGTGCTGTCATCTACCATGTTAGCCCCACCCCGCTCATCTTCATGTCATGGGCAAATTTTACAACCAGCACAGGGCCAAAGACAGGACACTAGAGATCTCCTTCCAAGTGGCCACTGACACCCTTGGCCTGCCCCCTAACCCACTTTCCCCCTAAGTTCCTGTAGAAGAAGCACATGGAATGGGTAATCAAAAAGAAGATGGGGCAGCAAGGTGAGGGAGTCATTCCCACCAAGACAGAACTCAAGGCTTGAGCAGCACTTACCCCATAGGTGATCAGCAAACCATTAGGTTTCAGCAGCTGTCCGGCCCCTTTGAATAATCCCTAAGGAAGACAAGAGGGCTCTAAAACAGAGAAATGTTGAGGAACCCCCCCCCCAAACTGGGCATCTCCCACAGCCCCATTCAACAAAGAAGTCTCCCATGCTGAGCAGAAACTAGGATCCTACTGCTCACTGCCAGTGAGTCAGTCCCTTCCTCACTCTGTGCCTCAGTTTCCCCAGCTAAACAATGAAGCAATTGGATGCGCTGGTAGTAAAGGTCCTTTCTAATTCTTAACACGTTAGCTTCTCTGTCCTAAGAACTCTTCCAGCTCTGGCATTCTCTGTTCTAAGGTTCCCCCACAGCTTTGATAGTCTGTGCATCCTCTAAGCAGAAGTCACTGTCCACTCAAGACCCCACTCACCTCCGTGCAGCTCATGGGGCTGATGTGAATCATATTAATACAGAGTACCAGGTCCAAAGACCTAGCCTGGATCCCTCCCCATTTTTCCCAGCTGCAGGAAGCATCCAGGAATAGGGGTGGCCTCACGTTCTGAAGCTGCCAGTTCCTGATGAAAGCCGAAATGCTGGGGAGTAAGAGAAAACCCTGAGGTTGGGGAAGGGGAGGCTGGGAATCTGGGCCTCCAAACACTGCCCTTCCTATCCTGGATGACAGGGATCTGACAACCCCACAGGGTTAATGATGCAAAAAATAACATTGGGACTGAGGGGGTCAAGAGACCTGGGTTCTAATTCAGTCACTGCTACTAAGTACTAATTTACTGTGCAACCTTGGGCAAGCTGTTTCCTCTCTGGCCTTCTCTTTCAACACTTGTAAAATGAAGAGGTTAAACTAGATCTAAGGCTTCTTCTAGTTTTACGGTCTTCTGAATGTGTGAGATAAGCCAAATTATGACCCAGTGACTTATCTTTGGTTTAGCGACATTACTGGCACTACTACAGCCTAAATTGACTGAGGGGGCAAATGGGCTTTGGAGTCTTCCTTGCAAGAGTTTTCTCCAC